CCCCTCGCGCGCGCTCGGCCGCACGCCGCCGTCGCCGCGGTTTGGGCGCTCACCGCGCCTCGGCGCACTGGGCGCCGCCGCGGCGGGCGGCGCCGCCGGCGCCTCTGCGGCCTTCTCCCTAGGCGCCAGCCCGCCCGCGCGGGGGGACGACCCCCTCCTCGCCGGCTGCAGCCCGGCCCTCGGCTGCGGCCTCTTTGGCAGCTGGGGCGCCCCCTGCGGCGCCGCGCCCGAGGCGCCGCTGCAGGCGCAGCCGCAGCCGACCGCGCTCGCGTCGGCGCCGAGCGGGCCGTCGTCGGCCGACGGCGACAGCGACGACACCGACTTTGGCGCGGGCGCGGGCTGCATGGGCATGTTCGACGATTTCGATGGCTTCGCCGGCCCCGGCGCTGCCGGCCCCGGCGGCTACGAGGCTATGGATTTGCTGCAGCCCGCCGGCGCGCCCGGCGGCCCCGGCGCCTGCGGCGCGTCGTCGCTGCCCGGCGGCTCGCTGCCCGGCGTCGGCATGATGATGCTCGGCGGCATCAGCCCCGCGGGCGGCGCGATCTGGGACGACATGATGGCGCTCGGCGCCTGAAGACCGCGGCACTTGCCGCCGCCGCGCATGCCGGCAGTCGCGCCGCCCCCGCCGCGCGCCCCACGCGGCCCGGCCGGTCGGGGCGGCTGCTTTTCTGAGTTGGGGTGCGCCCCCATGGGCCCGGGGCGCGCGCGGAGGGGCCGTCCCTCCGCGCCCGGGCCCGCCGCGCCATTGTTTTGTCACCGATCGGAATCAGGGCCCGCGCCGGCCCCTTTCCTCCCGCGGCCGTCATGTGACGCCCGGCGGGCCGGGAGTTGTACCCCCTTACCCCGCGCGCGCAGCGGGCGCGCCTCTGCCGGCGTCACGCGCGTGCGCCTAATCAAGGGAGAGGCGCGGCAGGCGGCAGAACGCAACCCCGCACACACACATATACCATGCACACGGCAGCACAACACCAACACGCACACGCCCGCATCCGCGCGGGCGCGCGCCGCGCGCCCGCCCCGCATGTCGGGCGGCCGGCCGGCCCTGGCGGCGACTTTTGAAGGGACCAGCCGCCCGGCTGCCGCCCCGCGCGACCGCCCCGTCTTTGCCGCGCCGCCGCCCGCCCGCGCGCGACGGCGGGCCCTATGTACTGCGGCCGTGCGGCCAACCGACCAACCCGCGTGACCACACGCCGCGTTGTCGCAGGAGGCGGCGCATCATCATTTGCATGCAATCTGTGGCCCACGTACGCAGGGATGCGCGCCTCGCGCCCGGCAGCTCGCGATCCGACGGGCCGGGCGCCGCCGGACGGCACCGCGAACGCCGCGCGGGCCCTGCCCTGCCGGCGCGGCGCCCGCGGCAGCCCCGGCGGCCCTAGCGCTCCCGTCGCCGCTGCGCTTCCGGCGGGCGGGCCCTTTGCTCGGCTGTTATGCCCGTGGCTGGCCCGCAATCGCGATCGCGCCGCGCCCCTTAAGCCCACCAACAGCACATTATTTGACGGCTCCTCGGTTCGTTGTTTGCCCGGCGTGTGCGCAGCCGGCGGCGCCGCTGATATGATCTCATCGCGGGGGGGATTTCGCGGGGGCTGGAGCCGGCGGCGGGGCGCGCGCGCCGCAATAAGCCGCATGAACGGGAGCGGCGCGGCTTGGGGGCGCTCGCGCCGGGGGTGGCTGGGGTGGGTTGTCGGAAAGCACATAGCCGCGCCGGGCCCGCGAGACGGTCGCGCCTGGCGCTGCGCGCGCGCGCGCCCCAGCCGCGGCGCGCCGCGCAAGACGCGGCGGCTCGCGGGACCGGCCGCGACCTACACTTGTCTGCACGCTTATCACATCACGAGCCGAGACGCTTTGAGTATCCCTGAGCGCCAATCAAACCTGCCCGCGGCGGGGGCCGGCCGGGGCGCCACGGGCTGCGCCCGCAGCCCATGGGGTCCCCAGGCGGCCCCCCCTCTCTCCGCGCGCCCCTCGCCCGGCCGGGCCCGCGCCGCCGCTTTCGGCATTCGCAAGTGGCACAGGGTCCTGGGGCGCGCCCCCTCCGTACGGGCGCGAGGCGTGCCCTCCCCCTGCCCCGCGGCCCGGTCGGTACACTGCCTACCATCGTTGCAATTGCGTTTACAAACTGGACTTCCCGGAAAAGCTGGCTTTTGTTTCGCCATCCGCCGTCAGCGACCCCCGCGCCCTCGCTCGGCAAGGGGCCGCACGCCGCCGATG